ATGTGGTTAATCTTGTATTACGTACTACGAAGGAGCTACACTAGTGTACGAAGCCAAAGTACAGGTGTACAAGACTATTTGATCATCGCCCGGCCGAGTTGAGGCTACCAGACATCTCCACAATATCAGATCGTCATCCGCCATGCTTAATTTGGACGAGAGCTCCAAATGTGAAGTACTTCGTAAGATGAGGATTTCAGGTTGCCGTTATTGACTAATGCCACTAGTCACACCCGTCCTATTACTTGACGTAAATTGTTCGATTCCATCGGTGATCTGCGATGTTGAAGGAATGGGGACTGGGCAACGCTGGACTCTAGTGTACTGACTGAGTAGTGCACGCTGCGAGTAGGGTCATCCCACGCCCTAGCACCGCACCGCACCGTAAATTACCAAACAAATAGTCCACTACCATTAAGCGAATAGCTTCAGGGCCCTCTGGGCGCACGAATCATCCTGTGCCCAACCATTTCGTCCCGTGAACTTCTTCACAAGGAACGGCACAAGGACGGCACTTCGTCCGTTTGAGAGCGAAGTCTTGTTCACTTTCTGGGCCCGGCGGAAGGGCCCGGCAAACCTCTGGCTTCACTGGGATTGCAAATTACTTTCGTACCACATGCAAATTGATCTGTGCCTGCCCACTGCCCACGACCTGCGCATTACACTATACTCCGCACATGTACTTTCGTACGTTCAGAATCTTGCGCTAGATCCGACGCTATTTCGCTCTCGTCGCGTGGCTTCTCCCTTGGGCCGTTGCCAATACTCCACACGGAAGGATGGGATACCATGTAATCGAACCAGCTTGGCAGCCTCTAAACAATCCGCGTGAGGAATATGCAATAAGAGGTGTAATCTTGTTTTCTGTTTCGACGGCAGGATCGTGATCCTTTCTCATCTGGGTTAGGAACCATTGCGACTTCATCCTGCATATCACATCTCACGGAGCCTAGGGGGATAGAGGAAGCTCATGATCCACTGCGAGTAGCGTCTGAAGCATCTACTGGTCAGCTCTAACCTTCTAGCGCAGCTCGAGATAACAAATGCGAACCTGTGGCCTGGCCCCCCAAACCAACGCAGGAGACTACATACATATTATTATCTGGAGAAGGACCAGGCAGGCGGGCATTTCGCAACGCCAGGGGGAGGGCCCCCGTGGTCAGGACCTTGCACGGCAGCTCCGATGAACTTGCCGAATCGAGGCAAAGTTCGACGATACCTGGTCCATCTATCGCGTGGTGAAGTAGCACGGTTCACAGTTCTACCAGCACACTAATACACGCAAGGTAGCATCAGCCCTGGAATTGACATTACCATTAACCCTCTCTTCCATGCAATCTGTAATGATCTCATAAAGTTTAGTAGGAAAACGCATTGTGAAGGATCCTGGTTATGGCCTCATGTTCCTTGCTATTCCACGCGTTGTTCTCTTACTATTGGAGTGCGCATACCACCCTGCTGGTTCTAATCTGGAGCGTGCCGAGATGATGCTGGTTGAGCTCCGTGGCAGCCACACCTGTGCCCTGCGTGCTTTTTTTTCTATTCTATTCTATTCTTTTGTTTTTCTCCCATTTCCCTTTGTTCCGTTCCTGCGTTGGCTCTCTCTATCTCCATCGTCACAATTGGTTTCTAGTTTCTCCCTTCAGGGACCGCAGCTCGGCGGATTTTTATTTATAGGTTTAGTAGGCGCAGTTAGAGCAAGGAAGTGTTTGCTGTTTGACTGATGAGGGAGTGGGCTGCTTCACTTTCACGCACGTTCTGAAGTATCCTCGCTTTCTCTCTCACACACCCCCCCATCCCTGCTCGACACACAGATCTGTGGCCCAAGCTGGGGCGAAGGGGACCACCAGGCAAGAGAAGAAAAAAAGGGAAGTGCTCGACTTTCCAAACCGGGTGGGCCCTGGTTCCAGTCTGGGTCCCTTGCCCGCGCTTCAGTGCACCCCCGGACAACATCCCCGAAGCCCCAACGTCACACCAACGACCGAGAAACTGCGGGCCCTAGGGTTTTCTTCACATTCTTGCGAAATGTACCTTGCTTCAGTCAGGACAACGCATGAAGCAGGGGAGAAAAAGACAGTCCTGTACCTTGCATCGACAAGATCCTTTACGTTTAGATCTGTCTTGGAAAAAGAGCCTCGTTTCTAGTACCGTCCATCTCGTGGTTGTGATGTCGTGATACTGCGATTTTGGAAAGGGCAACGACTGCGTTAAAAGTGTCGTAATCCTTGATGAATACGATCCGTCCAAGGTACGAAGTTAATAGACTAATGGTGTAGTGTAATACTCAACCACTGCACTCTGGGGTACAGCATCCAGCAGCTTCCAAGCTAATCCGCCCGTCGGGGGGTGGTAATAATACTTGGGACGTAGAGTACCTGAACCGGCGCACGATGTACAAGCATATACGAAGTACTCCTTCCAGACTCCTTCCGTTGGGTAAATGAAATGCGAGATATTCATTGGTCTTGTACCCCTCCGGTAGGGTGCAGGTAAGAGAGGTACGAAACACTCCGTAATAATAACACCCTGGACGACAAGTCTTTTTCTAGACTTTTTCCAGGGTAGCGGCAGGTACAGACGGAAGTATACTTGGTCTGGGCTGGGTCTCTGCATCATCAGGTCCTTCGACGAAGCATCAGCAATGATTCGTGGTGGACGAAGGAGACGAAGGATGTAGTAGACGTATTGAGTAAATGTACTTTGGCTGGGCGTTGTGGAGTTGGAACATAACATCGCTCTTCGTCTCGATCTGAAGAAAAGGATCACTGCACCCTCTTCTTGAACCACGCTGCATCGTCCTTGCTTCCCTCCTTTTTCTTTCCCTTGTCACAATAAATCCTACAGTAATCCCTTCGTTTTGGTTTTGCCCCTGGCACACGAGAACTTCATCCAACTCCAACTTTCTAATAATATCCTGGGGAACCTTGATATACCTCTCTTTCCTTGTCCCGTTCGTTGGTCCGCCTGGTGCGTTTGTCTTACACTTCTTGTAATCCACCATCCAGTCGACGAACTTATCCAAGCAACACAACACGAACCCCAACTCTGTTTCCGCTCGCTGCACGACCTCGAAGTTAAATTCAAAAATCTCTTGTGCGGCAGGAGACTCGATCCAATCCACAGCATTGCCGTTGGCAGCATTGCGCAAAAGCAGACAATCCCCGTCTCCTCGGACGGCTGCACCTGTCCATCTTGTCTAGGACGGACGAAGACCACATCGCGACTTGCCCCACGACGCGAGAAACGAATCATCCATACGCGCAAGCTCAGCGCCGAGTCGTTGATACGCTCCTTTTATTGCACTGCACACCATTCTGGATTGTTCCATTTGGCCGCAAAGCCCGCCTGATATCGCGGCTTAAATCTGCTTGTCTGGCAAGAAGTAAACGGAGACTCAATTACTTTACTTGGTTCTTTGCCTAAACACAACAGGTTGGTACTTCTTTTTTCTTGCTATTGGCAGCGGGCGAGTGGGTATTCTCCGAATGCTTGGATAGACACGCCGAGAAGTGCATTTTGTTGCTTCATTTTGATTTCTCCTTTCGTTTCCTGTTCGTTTCCTTTTGCTTTTTCGTTTATTTTTATTTTTATTTTCATTTTTTTCTGATTGTGCTTCGGTTCTTCTTCTGTCCCATTGCCCCTCGTTCCTTCTCCAGATTCGCTTGCAGCAGACCAGAACTCACGATTGCAGCACTTACCCACCTTCATCAAGGCTCCTTCTATTTTAGCGTGTGTGCTGGCTGTGCTTAGTAGTGCAGAACTGGCAAGTGCGAGTGCGATTTTGGTTAGGTGCTGAAATGTTCAATGTTCCCAAAAGTACCTGCGTAGTACTTGAATGATTCTGTGACATAACATTGGTTTTGTTTTTGACTTTGGTTGGCTGCTCTCAGTCTTTGGGCTGGCAAACCAAACACGTCCATCCCGTTCTTTTCTTGGCCCTTCGTTTTACCACCGACTCTATTTTTACTCCTATTGATCCTCAAGCAAACAAAAATCCTTTTCATCTACCATTCAGTCATCAGCCTGCCTCCATCGAACCCCATCGCCTCTTGTTCTTGCGCCTGTGTGTTTGCCTAGTTGTCGAAACTAGCCGGGGCCACTCTTGTTATTGCCTGGGTAGAGACAGCATCAAACTAATTCGCTGCAGCCTCCAGTCCAGAATTAACCGTGCACTCTTCCCCAAGCTGCAGCACCACCGAGTCATTGCGTTCTTCCGCCCGACTCCAAATCCAGACGCCGTGGTCCGAACCGCGATTCTCTGCGCGAGATCAACCATCTTCTCATTCCGATTTCTTCTTCTCCGCGACGTCAGGGTCTTTCTTTGCCCCAGACCTATCCGACGACCACCGACTTTTGCCTTTTAGTGCCCTCGGTGGCCAATTTATGACCGGAGCTTTCTGTACCCAAACAGAATTCCTCGGGCTCCTTTCGCCTCCATACCGCCTCCAGCTACCCTCTCCTGCAGTGGAATCCTTGTGTGTGCATTAAGGAGAACACAGTCGTCCCATACTTGTGACACCAAGAATACGTCTCTGGCGACCGCTGCCTATCAACTTTCGGCAGCTAGAATCTGATATCTCCCATTTCAGGTGAGCTCGTTCTCCTTCCTATTGCTCTTCGCCTTAGCCTCGTCTGCACACCGGTCGGAAAGAGGAAGGGGACGAAAAAAAATAGAGAGACCCAAAAAAAAAAAAAAAAAAAAATCTCAAAGGATTGTTATCTCCCTGTCCGCCTTGTCCCCATTTCTCCCAAATCCTCCCACCGCTCCTTCTCCCTGCGGACCACCCTGTGTTGGTGCAGCCCTTGCATCTCACCTAAGCAAAACTACAACAAGTTAGGGTCTTCCTCATATCCTAACCAACAGGTTGCTGACTGTTTCTTGCCTCGAATCAGGCTCAGAACCCCGTCCGATCGAGACCTCGAGTAGCTCCCGTTGCCGCGTTGAAAATCACCTCTACACCTTCTTGGTGAGAATGAAATCACCCGCTCCCGCCGAAGTGATGGGTATCGATATGCTCGTCAACGCAAAGGGCGGTGTTGCCAACCCACACCACACTATTCCATCCATTCCCTCTCCCGACCAAATCCACCTACCTCAGATTGCCGCCTCCCGGCCCATGACCGACCCCTTGGATCGATCCGTTTCTCCCCACGGCTCGATACATTCGACACATTCTCGATACTCGACGCCTAGATCGGGCGATATTCCCGACACGCTTCCTCGGTCATATCCTTCCCCAACCGCGATGCTTCATGCTCATGACCCCCAGCTCGGCGCACCCATGTCTCTGCCGAGCATGCCACCCACGAGTATAGCTCAACATTATCAGACCGAGTATAAGCCGGCCCCTGTCCTTCCAGGCACCTGGAACCAGTCCATCCAGCCCATGCCCACCCAACAACCCGCTCCTCAGCCGCCCGTGAAGGCATACCCGTGTAGCACTTGTGGGAAGGGTTTCGCCAGGCGTAGCGATCTGGCGCGACATGGTAAGGGAATTCTATATCTGGTATTCATATTTGTAGGTGCTAACGCCTGGAAATCTTAGAGCGCATTCACACCGGTCACCGACCTCATGTGTGTGATTACCCTGACTGCGGCAAGCAGTTCATTCAGCGATCTGCCCTGACGGTGCATTACCGCGTGCATACTGGCGAGAAACCGCATATGTGCGAGAGGTGTGGAAGGGTACGTATCATCGCTTCATCTCTTGTACAAACACAAGTTTTGCTAACTTTGCGCCCCGTAGACCTTCAGCGATAGCAGCTCGCTCGCTCGTCATCGACGTACCCATTCGGGTAACCGGCCTTACAAGTGCCCCTACGCCAACTGCCAAAAGACTTTTACTCGCCGTACAACTTTGACGAGACACCAGAACCAGCATATTGGCACGATAGAGGAGGCTGCTGCTGCTACTGCGGCGGCTCTTGCGTCCCGAATGAACGGCGTGAAAGGAATCAAGGCCGAGATAGAACAGCTGTCCAGCCACATCTCTCCCGTCACTACTCCTTCTCCTGGTCAAAGGAATTTGTCTATGTCTCCTAGTGCCCAGCTTGACGGAACTGGTCTTCCGAGGCAAGATTTCCAGCAGTATGTCACGAACAGCTCTCTCCCGGCCCACTTGAGGAGTGATATCCACATTGGCAGCCCAACTTCGACGACATCTGCTGGCTACAACCCTATCCGACCCACCTCCCACCCAACGAGCTACCCGCCTCCTACACTGGAGCCTAGCGTCGAGAGCCATAACTCCGGTCCCGGCAGCGCCAGCGGTAGCCCTCACATGAGCAGCCTTGGGTGGCAATCTCCCACCCATTCTGGCTCGCCTTCTCAAAGTAGCGCCAACGCTTTCATGTACCCTGATCCCGACTACCAAACAACGACGAACAATATGAATCAGTTCTATTACGCCCACACGGGTCAGATTCGCAGGCCCCAGAGCACGGAACCCAACTTGGTGTCCATCTCATGAAGTCAACATGACCGTCAACGTCGGTTTCCTTTGTCTTTTAAGGCTATTCTTTTGCCCTCTGGGGGCAAGCTCTGAGACCCTCTATGCAAAACAAGGAGGCCAACTCATCACATGCAGTGGGCTGGCCCCAACAACACCGTCACTCTTTATGCGCATAGACCCGGACTACAAACTAATAATTATCTACTGAACAACGACCACTCGATACCCCCTGTGTGTTAACTATTTTTCTTCTTCTCGACTCGGCACGAACATGCCTGGTCGATGAGCGGCCGACGATCTGCCCTCCTCAGGTTTTCAACTCGGCTGGTTTTTTTCCCTATCGAATACCTAATGACTTTCTTGACTCCTTACGGAGTCGAAACTCTCTCATCTCAATGTTCCCTTTACTATGTCCCTCAAAATAATATTTCCCCTCTCTTGTCGTTTTCATTTTCTCTTTTGTTGTGTCAATGGCGCGGAATAGATGGAACTCGTGTGAAATTTCTCTCCTTCACCTTTTTTTCCTCTTTGATTTTCTTCGATGTCTCTATGAAACAGAGTGGGCGGTTATCCCCTCTGTTGGGTTCGCTGGGAATCAAGGCGGGAAGGGAAAGGGCGGGAGTTTTTTTTTTTTTTTTGTGCTCTTTATTTCCTTTTCCTTTTTCTTTACGGTAGGGTAGCCTTCGCGCATGTGTGTTTCTTCCTCTCCCTTTTTGGACTTCGTCAAGTCTCAAGTCTCCGAAGTGTGTTGGTCTTTTTTCTCCTCTTTGTTGTCCTTTTTTCCAGTTCTGTAGATAGAAGGCAAAAAAGGGTGGGTAGCCCGAGCTACGAGGAGGGATTGATATGTGAAACGTCTTTTTGCGCAATATAGACTACCTCATTTTTTTTCTGTTCATGCACTTCTTCTGGATTTCTTGCTTCGTCTATGGTTATGGTTGAAGGATTCGACGACAGGGTGTATGTATGTAAATGCTGATATCAGTCCTGGCCAGTCTATATTCCGGAGAACAATGGATAGATGGTTCTTTTCTTTTCCTCGATTCGTTTAGTGTTGCCGATGTGTTGCTTGGTGATCTGTGACCCCGAAAATGAAAGCTAGAGGGAGAAATGCCGCCATCCATCACTCCTACGATATATCTCTGCAGTCTCTACAGTGGCGAGTGGGAATTGCGGCAAGAGATACGTCTATTGATTGTCTAGATCTCCTCGCCCCAAACGCGGAGAACCCATAAAGGAAACGAACAAGAGACCAAGACAAAAAAGAAAAAAGAAAAACCGAAACCAAACCAAATCAAACCGTATCTGGCGTGGAGTTGCCTCCCTCCTCGCCTGCTCTAAAACGCGAAGAGTCGAAAGAACCCAACCCATTTGATAAACTCTTTCTCCTCGAGACACCCTTTTTGCGCCGGATTCCCCTCAAAACGCCATGCTATGCTCCCCTTTTTTATAATTTTAAAAAAAACCGTCCTGCCTTGTCTGCTTGCCGCTGATGATCTCGAAATGTCATAGTACAAGGCCACCGAGTCTGTCTCTCTGCGGAGGAGGGATAGAGTGTGAGTGAGCCAGTCCGTGGAGGCTGGCTGTATATTAGCTCACCTGTTCCTCCCCCTAAGTGGCCATCAGAAGATCTCAAATGAGAACTGTTCCTTTATCGCTTAAGGTGGCTAAAGTCCTTGAGCACGCCCTCCATATGCGTGTTCGTAACCTTGCCAACCCTCTTGGTAGTCCGTTTCTTCTGCGGCTTAGGCTTAGCCGCGACGATCTTACCACCCGCAGTGGGGTCGTCGCTCGTAGGCTTCTGACCAACAGCCTGCAGCTTGCGCGGGAGTTCCTCGGGCTTAGGAATGGGGACGCGAAGCCACATGTTCTTAAACTCCGAGTCGATCTCGGACGAGAGGGAAGGGTCATCGAGATAGACGTGCTTCGGGTTATTCTCCTTCTTAGTGCGAATAACGAGGACCTTGTGCAGCTTCTCGAGCTCGGCGAGGGCGGGTTCGCAATCGGGCCATCCGTCCTTCAAGTCCTTGACGGCCACGCCCGAGGCGTCCTTGCGGTTCTGGAGAAACTTTAGGAGCGACGTCTTATCCTTGACTCCCGGGATGATGGGGCGGTAGGTGTATTTGCCCATGTTCCACTTCTGCTCCGTGACGTCGGGTTGAGGGATGAACTCGACGCGGGGGTGGCGACGGATCATCTCGGCGAAGGTCTCCTTGTACTGCTCTCCATGCTTCATGAGGCTCAGGTGGCCCAGGATGTCGTCGAGGGACTTGGGTCCGTTCTTCTCGCGCAGGTACGTCAGAGCAAAGTGCATCTGCGTGCCGATCTGGTCGCCGAAGCTCGTGTTCTCCGGCTGCGAGTAGACAATGTCCGTGCGCTTGCGCTTGCCCGGAGGCGTGCTCGTTGTCGCGGGTTCATTGCGCGAGGTGGTCGAGCCGATGGAAGGAGAGGGAGAGGCGGGGGCCCTGGGGACGGGGATGGTAGGCTTCTTCGTCTGGATCTTGGAGGCGGCCGAGTTGAGGGCGCCTTTGAACGCTGCCCGTTGGCTCTCCAGGTAGGACGACATGTTGTCGACGCGGCTGTGCGCGGCGCTGAAAGAAGAGGGCTCTGGGGTGTCTGCTTGGAGAGGGTCGGGGGAAGATAGATCGTCGTTGGAAATTCTGAGGTCGCCGAATTTGACGATTCTGACTCTCGGGACGGTCGTAGCCGTGGGGGACTCGGGCTCGCTGCTCTGTCCTACTCGGGAGCCGGAATGTTTCTGGAGGACGGATGGTGGCGATTGAGTGTGTTGAGCAGGGGTGCTTTGGCCAAAGTTTAAAGAGCTGGGGTTGTCTTTGGATTCCTTGGCATCACGTGATATAGCCTTCTCATCTGCACGTGATGGACTCTTCCAGGTGCCTGGTGGGCTGTTGAGCTCATCAACAAGGGTGAGCTCATCATCCAGATCCATGGTGGTGAGCTGCCAACAAGTTTGGATTGGGGAAACAGATGTCACTGCAGATGTGAAAGGAGGGAAATTCTCTGAAGTGTGTGTTTTTTTGCTTTAAATTTATTTCCTTATTATATTCATGAATATCATCCTATCTAAGAATCGTTTCTTGCGATCTAGCGATCTTAATTGCCAGGCCTCAGATTGATCCCGCTTACAAAGGTGTGGAAATGCCAAGTTCACATGCATGTGAGAGGTCCCTGAAGAGTCCGAGCTTCAAAATTAATCTGCCAAAGAGGACAGCTGGAAGAAACATTGAAACTTGGAAAAAATCGTTTTTTTATTATATCAAAAAAATATTAAACTGCATTGCAAAGCCTGGCCATCATAGGTTCCGTAAACTATCTGTCGCTTTGTTGTGTTGGTATCTTCTCCTGTTTCTAGTAAAAAGGAAAACCGAGAAAAGATATCGTGTCCCAATCAATCGTTTCCCAACCCGCCTTGCTAGAAGGTCTTCTTCTCCCAGGAAGCTAGAACTACCGGCTTCGTTCTTGTGATACCACGCCAATTTCTAATCAAACAAACGAGTGCGAGGAGAAGATGCAAGGCCATCCGTCCCCCGAGTAAAGAATGTCCTTTCTCCCAAATGCAATCGGCGCTACTCTCTATAAATTCGGGGGCTACCGTGTCATGATAGAGGTAGAGAGCTCTTTAAGCAGCGATAAGACCCTGCTTCTGGGCATATTGGTAGGCGAAGAAAGAGATGACACCGCCGATGAGGACGATGGCGTACGTGGCGACACCGATGCTGCTGGAGTCGGCAGTGACGGCGCTGCTGTACGAGGCGGAGGCCTTGGGAACGGGGTCACCGGGCTGAATTGACGATTTCCTCGCGTTAGTTGCGCGACGCGAGACAAGATATTGGGAGTAAATATTTTCCGGGATTGGATAGGATGGGGTGATTCAGACTCACCTTTCGGTTGATGGTACCGGTCTGAAGGGTCTTCAGGAGTTCCCTGGCCTCGTCGCTGTGACCGACATCCTCGAACGCCTCGGTGGCATCTTGACCGCCAACATCTAGAAGGACTTCCTCACCACCACTGCGATAGCGAAGCGGGCATATGTAAGCGACCGAAAATCCGACGGAGTGGCGGGCGAATTTTGGGGTTGAAAAAAAAAAGGAGGCCGGCGCGAAACCGCGGGGTGGCTCCCCCCGAAAAATTGGCATTGGAGAACTTACGGATGCTCATCGATGAACTTTGTGCAATCGTAGACCTTGTCGTGGATGACCATGTAGAGGCTATCCTTGGTGTTGTGTCCAGCGACGTCTTGGTAGGTGAACTCGGACATTTTGGTGGTTTGTTGAGGAAAGGTTCGGGATTTAGAAAAAAGAAAAAGTGAGAGTTGCAGGGTCCTCTGAAACAAAGAACAAGGACGAGTCTCGAGACGAATTGGCGGAGAGGCGCAATGGGAGGAGACAAAAGCTTCAAGAGAGAAACGCTCGGAATGGGAACGGAAACGGAACAGATGTGTATACAGAACCGAGGTCAGGCAGAAGGAAGTGGAAGGGAAGGGAAAGGATGGTCAGCGCGGCAAGCAAAGGGAAGGTGAAGAAATATTAGAGCGAGCGAGCTGGAATTCCTCCGAAGTAAATGCAAAAGTCGAACGGGTTGGGTGGAGACGGTTCCGTGCACCGAGAAATTAGTAGTACGATTGCTGTCGATTGATCCCTGGTCCAGGTCCTTCCAAGCCAATGGTCAGGGGCGTTGGGCCAATCATAGAAGTTAGAATTCAACTGATTCCCAGCGATCTCTGCCTCTATCTCTATTCTAAGTGATTGTCGGCGACCCACACGTCGCAGAGCTCCAACTCAACTGTCGGAATTGATGACTAAGATGGGCTGTCCAACGAATCTGCTTCTCCGCGCTAGTATGGTACACCTATACCGGGATCGTAAACGTTAGTGCGAGAAATCATTGCCACCACCTAATGTATCCCGAATCAAGTGGTATTCGGGTATATCTTCTAAAACTTTATATTTAAAAATACTTGCCTAATACTTGTAATGAGGTATGTCAGGTGGTAGATCTGATCTCCCACGCTAACGTATAAGATCCCGGTAGAGGTTTACCCTGTTCCACGGCAAGTGACTTCCAACGCTTGTGGGTGTGGGGTTGCCCCTCAAATTCGGGATGTGCTTCGCGGCATTTGGGCTCAGTTCATAGTACAGGGTTGCCGCAGTGGTGAGCGACCCGGCTAGTGGTCCCGGCTAGAAAGGGACTGCAAACCTATCTCCTGGAGCTCCCACCACCGATATCCTGGCCTAACCTGTAACTCGTCACCTTCTCCCACTCGATCTTTTGCCTCGTTACCGGTAGCTGTCTTCGTAGGTTCTTGAATGCACCCTCGCTCAGGCCTGTGAATGCCCTGTTCACCTCCTCCTGATACTTCTTCTCGGCCGCTGATATTTCCTTCACGATACCACTGCCAGTGCCGGAAGCGATCGAGACTGAAATCGGTCTGTTGGTCAGAAGGCGGACATTGCCGTCCTCGTAATAGTGCACATCGATTTTAATCGAGCCTTCGAGGTTTCCGGATGAGGGATCGAAGATATAGAACGATCTCCATCGTCCATTCCTGCATGCACATTGTCAGCAAGCACCGTATCATAAACCCCCCACATTATCTCCGATCCCGACATACCAGAAGTTGTTCGGGCTGTACTTGTTGGCAACAATGATGATTGCAACCTTGGAGTCGTTTTCGATGGGATAGACACCGTATGTAGCATTGGGGTAATGCTCGCCAACGTAGGTTCCGAGACTCTTCAACACGGAGGTCCTATCACCTTCATTAGCACAACATATGCGAAGAAATTGTCGGCTTCGGGGAAACGCACACGAGGTCGGTGTGGGAGCTATCTAGGACATGGGACTGTACGGCGCTTGCTTGCTGTATGATGCGTTAGCGAGGCGACACCGGCAAGATGGATGCTATCCGACGTACTCGCTTCTGGTGGTCGAAGTGGAAGCTGGACGAGCTTCCGACGTCGTAATACCTCCCGTCGCCGAGGGAGCTGTGTGAACTAACGATGACCTTTCAACTTCGCGTCAGAATGCTGTTGATATCCCTAGGTCCCGGGAACTGCCTCACATGCTGACTGCCCCCGGGCAGCTTAACCGTTGTGAACTGTTCTTCATTGTACTTCTCGAAGGCAGGGCCGAGTTTGGCGACGACGTGGGGGTTCGATATCGTAAGGGCCTTGATATCTGCATTCCAGCTTGTCAGACTTTCGTTCTCAATCCGGACGCGGTGTTCGTGTTCGTACCTGCAATGACGTCGTCGAGCTTCGCTCGTTAGCTCGTGCTTCGAGGCAAAAAGGGGGAACTGTCAACATACTTCGCCTGGAGGGGCTCCTTCGACAAAGGAGGAAATTGTGTCGATGTGGTCCATTGGAACGGGGGACTCTCCAAGTCAACCGACGCAAACGGATGGAGATTCAGGCGTAAACGAACGAAGAGATGAGGCTACGAAGCTGGATAACTCGAAGACGTTCTGCTGATGCGGGGCACAATCAGGTTGCGACGAGAACTCCGCATTCGGGTAGGTGGGCTGAAGATTAATTGTTAGTGAGCAACTTGGACCACATGGTGGGGTTTCTCCTCTAAATACCGTACATCCATACCAGTGACCAATCAATCATCACCCTTTGTCTCGGGTGTTCCTTTTGTGGATTCACCGCATTGATATAGGGGCCATCAGGGACGTCCCCATTCCTCGATTTATATATATAAAGGATATGCAAAACGACCTCTTTTGCCGCTTTTTAACCCATACCTTCTGCTCTCGGAGGAATCATTCTTTGTTTCTGTGGAACCAGCTTTCGAGTCAGTTGCAGATGTCCTCCCGAGGGGCAGACACCTCAATCTCTTGAAACAGGCTTGCCTCCGGTTTTAGCTGGGGTGTGTAGAATGGTGGTAGAGGGAGTCTGTCACTTAGAACCGTTACTAGAGGTCATCAATAGCGTACCCATCATCCTCTAGAAAGAGGCTGAGGAAACTCTCGACGGTAACCATTGTTAGCCCGGTAGTCGAAGAATGTCCCTTTAAAGATATCTCGGATACTGAATTGTACTATCTAATATTGATGTTCTCTAAGCTCTGTAAGAGTGCCTAAAGAATTGGGTTTGCGGGTGTTCACATTTCAACTCCTTCGGTGGTCTCGAGGACAGACCAGAGTGTCATGTGACATCGCGTCGATTCGGCGGCTGAGTTTCATGATTGTCAATCACGGTCCCCCGCGTCATTTTCCCCCTTCTCGTTTTTAACATCCAGCGACGAAGCATAAAACCCCGACTCTACTGACATTCTATATATTTGATGCAAGCATAATGCCACCTAGAAAGCGAGCTGCTTCCACTACCATAGACGAACCTCGACGGTCGCGTCGCATTTCATCAAATGTGAAGAAGAGCAACTATTTTGAGGAGGATGACGACTCCGAGGACCCTCTGACAACCTCTAATGTAAAGAAGCGAAAGGGCAAATCGGCGCCCGCAAGTAAACGCAAGCAGGAAGTCGATGACGGCTTGTCCGATGAGTATCAAGACAATGCTGCCGACCAAGATGAGGATGAAGACGGGGGCGAAGAAGAAGAAAATGATGATGATGATGGAGATGAGGACGAGTTTGCCACCAAGGTCACCGTGGTCAAACTCGAAACCCTGAGGCCCGATGGTGGGGTCGAGTACGCCGATGACTTTGTCCATAAGAACACGATGCTTTTCTTGAAAGATCTGAAGGAGAACAATGAGAGGTCGTGGCTCAAATGTAAGCCTCTAGCAGTATAGATCAGATGTTAATGTTGCCACTAACAGCAGGCCTCTAGCGAACGATCGGGAGTTCCGGAGAGCTCAGCAGGACTGGGAGTCATTCGTCATGAGCTTCACGTCAAAACTCTCTGGCCTAGATTTCACGATCCCGGAGTTGCCCGCGAGAGATGTCGTCTTCCGCATATATAGGGATACAAGGTTCAGCAAGGACCCGACGCCATACAAGGTAAACTACAAGCCGTTTCAGCGAACGTGCAAGCATATGGCTAATACCGTATAGCCTCACTTTTCAGCAGCCTGGTAAGTCAAGCCGATTACTAAAATTTTCTCCCAGCTGACGGCTCTCAAGGTCTCGCACTGGGAGGAAAGGACCGTTTGCATGTTACTATATCCATGCTGAACCAGGGAATTGCTTCGTCGGCGGCGGCCTGTGGCATCCCGAGAATGAATCCATTTACAAAATCCGAGAGAGCATTGACGAGCGACCTCGGCGATGGCGGCGCATCCTCAACAACGCAGGCTTGAAAAAACACTTTCTTCCCGATGCCAGCAAGAGCTCCAGCGCAGACGTTGCTCTGAAGGCATTTGCTGCTCGGAACAAGGAAAATGCCATGAAAGTGGGGCCAAAGGTAATCGATAATTCCTCGTTCTGAGACTTGAGGAATGCTAACGAGGGTGTCTTGAAGGGCATTCGTGCCGATCATCGTGACCTGGAACTCTTCAAACTGAGAAACTACGTTCTGAGCAAGAAAGTCGCAGATAACGTTATTTTCGGGCCAGGTTCCCAGGAAAAGCTCGTAGACATCTTTACGCCGATGGTGCCGTTTGTAAGTCTTCCTTTTCTCGCATTCTATCTTCAAGACAGATCTAAGATGGTGGATTTCAGGTATCATTCTTGAACAGCATTGTTAGACCCGACCCAAACGTCGATGGGGACTTTGACTCGGGCGACGATGAGGAGTAGAGAATTCTTGGGCGGGCATCTCTGTGCTTGGGTATATTGGATATGGCCTGTGTGTTTCTGTAGGCGTTTGGTTGGATTCAATATTTAAGGTTTGAGAGGGTTCATAACGCATGTGCAACAATTGAAGCTTCTTCCCAATGAACTGGTTCTGAAAACTTTTCTTGCATGATTGCTAGTTCAGCCTCAGAGTAGGAACATGCACATCATGAGCTCGTCACCAAACAGAGCGGCCTGCTAATGAATGGCTTTGGGTTGACAGCTTAGAGAGCTAAATGGTTTCGCTTAGCGTTCCACCACATCTGGCAGCCGACCAGGCCCAAGCCGGATCAGGGGATTCTGCGGAGAAAACAAGCGCTGTCATTGAACACAAGAACGTTTCCAAGAACAAAGCCACCAGGAATTCAATGGCCTGGAACATTTCAATCTTGGTGGTGAGCGCAGGAATGCTCCTCCTGATTGGATCACGTAAAGGGGGTCGGGCGCGAAATCACAAATCACGTGATCAACAAGTGGCTTAAGCTTCTCCCAGATATTGATGTTACTCCCCACCACACCAACCAACCAAGTGTACCTGGAGCCTGTGGATTGGTACGTTGCAGGGGGCGATGTATTTTTGACGCAATGTTATTCGGCGGCCAGCAAAACCAGGCAACTTGGGTGGTCCTGGTTGCCAGCACGCGTTGTGTACATCTGTGAAGGAGAAGGCGGGAGTGTTTCAATGTTGTTATCACCACAACCACCACCATCCCTACCTCCCGCCTCGTCGATTCACGCAGCCCACTACGTCGATACACGCACACACAATAATACCCATTCTATTACTCTACCAGGCCAACACCCGCCAGCCTGGCTGAATTGAATTGATCTTTGGGCGAGAATAGCTCTTGTCTTTTCGTCGTATTTTTTTTTGAGGTGTCGTGAACCAACCTCTCGCATGCCAATGTATGTCGGGCGCTTATTTACAAACGTGCCTCGCTCGTTATTTTTTTTGTCCTCTTATTTCTCTTACATTCCTCCCCATGGCAAACTAACAAGTCTTCCTTTGTTAGAATCGCCGATTGCCGCTGGGCTTCTTAAAGTGTCTCCCCGCAAATCCCCCAGGCACCGCAAGACGTGGTGAGCACGCCGCCACGTCTTTCCAGGCTTCTCCATCATGGATGCCCGGTTGCGGCTCGTCTATGACTTTCTCGACAACGACCTCTACGAGAACGCACTGTTCGTCACCGAAAGGCTACATGCTCTCGACTCCGATAACTCGTCATGGATACATCTCATGTCTCTGTCTTGCCTTCGGCTGGGTCGTGTTGCCCTCGCAGCGGAACATAGTCGAGAGAGAGGTCTAAGTGGCCATCACCTTGGATGCTCCTATGTCTTTGCACAGGCATGTTTGCGTCAGAAGAACTATTCGGATGGCATAACGGCTCTGAGGCAAGCTCAGCGATTGTGGACTGGTATTCTCCCCCCCAACAGCTGCGCTCACAAACGAGAGTCGGCGCGTGATTGCTGACATTTTGCGTCTCAGATGACCATGCCGTATCCGAGCGATTCGCCCCCGACCTCGCAGCTGTGAACAGACTCCTTGGGAAACTCTACAAAGCGAGTGGAGACGTCAAGTCTTCTATAGCCAGCCATGTTGCAGCCCTCGAGGCAAACCCCTTCATGTGGGACGCATTCACAGACCTTTGCGATAATGGTGAGGATACCGTTTCGCGTGCATGCTGGATACAGAATTACTAATGATGGTCACAGGTGTTCAACTTCGCGTGGCTAATGTATTCAAGCTACGAGATAGCTCCAACAACAAGGCCGATCACGGCAAGCTAACAAAGTCGGCGCCATCCGAAGTGAACGCCACTAATCCGGCAGCTAAAGCGAATTCGCTTCGACCCGGCCACTCCTTCGACTCTGGTCTACGTGAAGCCATGCAACAGCCATTTTGCATCTCCCGGAATGATGCGCCGGTTGGCGACGAGAATATGGACACTACGGAGCCGCGGAATCTCCGTAGCGTGTCTGGAGATATTCCCATGGGTTATTCGGGAATAGCGATACCTTCGCTCTCTAAAAAGAGACAACGCTCCGTTCTCGATGCTCCGCCGGCGGAGGTATCTTCGGGGTCGACCAGGAAAGAAAACGATGTTTTCACAAGCAGATATGCTAGCTCGTCACTGACGTTAGCTCCTCAGCGGAGGAGCGCCCGATTGCTGAACCAAACGGCACCGTCGAATGGCCTATCTGATCGGTCAACGACCGACTCCGCTATAACACGAGATGCCCTTAAGCGGCTAGCGAGGCCGAGAAACCCTGTACGTCCGATAGAACGGAAGACATCGGCTCTAAACCGTGCTGCAAACGCTATCCGGTCGTCGACGGCGGGTGCGACGCGTGATTCGAAGACGACGGGGCCTTCTTCACCGACGCCGGCAGGGAAATCTGCTCACCCGGCAAGACTGACGTCTGTCGCCGCTGCAGCGGCGGCGCTAGATCAGGAGAAATTGCAGGCTTTGATGAACCTGCTGCTGAAACTAGGCACAGGTTATTATCACCTTAGCCAATTCCAGCCGCAAGCGTGCATTGATGCTTTATCATCACTTCCCTCCGAGCAGCATATGACGCCGTGGGTTTTGTCAAAGGTCGCAAGGGCGCAGTATGAGATGATGTCGTACAAGCAGGCCAAGTCAACATTCCAGGTGCTACGGAAGATAGCTCCGTCCTGGCTGGAGGACATGGAAGTTTATTCGACGGTGTTGTGGCATCTCAAAGACGACGTGGAACTTGCATTTTTAGGCCACGAGCTTTCCGATGATCATTACCTTGCACCGCAGACTTGGTGCGCCGTGGGAAACTCATTCTCTCTGCAACGTTGCCACCAGGAAGCGATTAAGTGCTTCAGGAGAGCGGGTCAGCTAGAACCCCAGCTTGCTTACTCGTACTCCCTCCTTGGACATGAACATTTTGAGGCGGAGGAATACGGCGAGGCGACGACGGCGTTCCGGAGGGCGCTGCAGGTGGATCCTCGTCATTACTCGGCTTGGGTTGGTTTGGGACGTGTGCAAGAGAGACTGGGCCAAGGCGAGAAGGCGCTCAAATACTACCGGTCTGCGGAGAAGGTTAATCCAAATAACGCTGCATTGCTGACCTACATTGCAAGGGTAAGTCGAGTCTTATCGATGTCTTGTCCTAGGATACGGCGACACTGACATTATGCCCTTTTCCCTTTAGGTACTCGAGAAGATGGGCAAGCACAGGCCAGCGCTTAGCTATCTGCGGCGCGGCACTGAGCTTGAACCTCCAGAGAACCTTGGTAGCCTGATTAGGCTGCAGACGGCACGACTCTACTTGCGTCTCGGTCAACCTCTAGAAGCCTTAAGGGACCTCCAATTGGTGCAGCAGATGGCACCCGATGAACCAAGTGTTCACTTCTTGCTAGGGCAGGCCTTTTCCATGTCCGGCCCTGCGAAGAGAGGAGAGGCGTTGCGGTCATACACGAACGCCCTCAGCCTTGATCCTTCTGTAAGTTTCCAGCCCTCCAGCAGGTCACCAAAAAGACGTACCTAACAGATATTACAGAATGAAACCATAAAAGATGCGATTATGATGCTTGGCGGTGGCCACTAAGTATCACTCGATGGGGAACGTTAAAGTAATTGTTCGACACTGATACTGTACTTATAGCATGTTGGGTTTGATTTCTTGTTCTGTCTGCTTTTTTTATCCGTGCAAGGGGACCGTCATATTTTCTGGAACGAAGTTTTTTCTTCGGAGTCGGGATGGGGCAAACTGAGATGCATTTCTTGGAGGGCATGCAAACAACGCACGACGGGTTCTGGGAAACAATTCGCATTGTGTGGGAGTATTTAAGGGCGCATTGCACATTTTTTAAATGTACCTTAATGGAGAAGGAGTAGGAAGCAGGGCGGTGGGATGGGCTACATGTTGGATGACGTATAGGAGTCCTCGGGAGGCTGTACTATGGAGGGAAGGATCAAAGTATAAAGTCGTTGCTGGTATCTTTCTTCGTCCTCGTGCGTTTGCCTCATCTTGGAGAGTAACCATGCTTGGCTTCCTCGCGGGCTGAGACGGGCGGGACCGTCCCGACTGCTGCCGCATCCACAAACCTTGTAAGGAACTTGGAAGGGGGTCGATGTGCCTGGACAAGATGAGAGCAGAGCCAGATACCCAATCGGGCTACTCCCATCGAACGGTCGAACGGCCCGGGAAGTTCAGGGTGGGCAGGCCAGGATCCTACACCGTGTCCGCGAGATCTATCCCTGTTTTCAGTTGGAGACCCGGCAGCTCACTCGGTTTGGGACACCAGAGATTTGGAGAGAGCGGACTGGCAGAACCCCCCCTTTTTCTGCGTTCTTCCTTGCTACCGTCTTAGAAGAAGTGCCAACTAAGCAATGAGCGCGGGTTCTCTTGCAGCATTTAGTTGCCCGTTTGCTACGTTCTATCTAGCTACAAAGGTATCTTACGTTCGAGTCACCGAGCTCCCGTCAGTTGTTATCCGCCGGCCTGGGACCTTCAGCGGCGGACAGGCACATCAACACAATGTGTTACTCTGGTAGGGTTAGAGTAGAGTCCCTCGGTTTTATTCCCGCGTGTAACTCGAACGGGAGCGAGCCAACTACAATCGTAGGTTGCTGATCTTGGTCCCATAGACCCGGCTAGTCCATTGGTGATTCTCAATGCGGACTGGTGTACCGAGGATATTCAAGGGCTTAAATCTAAAATAGACCAACCGCGAAGAAACCCGTAAATGAGCAACCACCAGAGCAATCATCCAGGGGCGGTTATCCTTGAATTCCCCTGACCAAATCTTAAAAAGCCAGCCCCGCCCCTCCTTCCGTTGTCGGATTATATTCCATTTTCTTCCATCTCGAAATCTCAAGATTGCACTCACAACACTGCAAGCCTGCGTGATGGTTTAAGACTCGTCCAAAGTTCTCAGCGGTTATGGATTCACCCGAGACAAGAGACCGATCTTGACTAGCTCACCATTCCCGCGTCTCACAGCCGTCCGCCTGCATGAGATCCAGTGCACGTTTTTTACATCCAGTCAAGGTGGAAAAGTCACGGTGTACGCGATCCTTTCGGCCATACCCCCCACCACCCAATCCGCCTAAGGGAAAATCGTGGCGTTGAATCTGGCCCCATATTCACGTATCTATTGACGTGTAGTGACAACAGTGACAGTAGTGACAGTCGTGTACATCTGTGCTATGTGGGGGTGTCCGAATCGGCAATGAGGGGAGGGAAAGAGCGGCTGCGGGGCACGGCACATCATCAACTCTGAGCCCGCCCGAGTCGAGGGGCAATTGGACCAGCAAAAGCAACACTTTCGCCCAAGTGACGTCGGCATTTTTACGTTTGGCACTATGAACTACACTACACTTGTATGTACCAATATTCATGTGGACCCGAATTTTGCTTGGGGGCCGAGCTATCACTTTGTCGTGGCTCGGCACTGCCGTTTCCCCTGGGTGGGCAAAGAGTGCCCCTCACGTTCTTTTTTCTCTGCTTTTTCGGAGACGAGTTTTAGATTGATAATTGGAGAAATTTTGGTTTCTTGACCTTCGTAGCTACCGAGTATTCTCTCATTCGCTATTACAAGTCTTCACGTTGTGAAGAGCAGCGGTCTATCTCTTAATCACAGTTCTCTGCTTACCCCCTCAGCACCATAAACTATGCCTGTCCATCATCTCATGATTGGCACTTGGACCCCTCCAGGTGCCATCTTCACAGTCGCATTCGATGACGAGAAGCTTACTCTTACTCTCGTGAAGAGGACCGAGATCCCTGAGGACCAGCCTATATCATGGATGGCCTTCGATGTAAGTTGCATGAAGCCATTCGTCATGGCCGATGACAAGGACTGCGACATGTGAATGCCTCGCGATCCGGCTCCAAATCGAGGAAAATTGGGAGCGACCACCACAAGCCATTGCGCATTGCCATTGTGTAGGCAATCACTGACAAGCCATGAATAGCATGCGAAGAAGAACATCTACGGAGCCGGCATGAAGAAATGGGGTAGCTACGCTGTGAAGAACCCCTCCGAGATCGTCCACGAGGCGTCTCATCCCTTGGGAGTTGATCGTAAGTCGCGACTCACAATCTGCTAAGCACTCGAAGCGATTATGTCTTTTTTTTTTCCTTCTATTTACTGACAGCCCCAAAACAGCCCAGGCCAACTCGAAAGAGACCAACACGCGAGCCATCTTCCTCCTCTCCGCTAAGAAGCCCCCCTACGCCGTCTACTGCAACCCCTTCTACAAGCACGCAGGCCACGGCAACATCTTCACCGTCTCTGCCACCGGCGCCCTCGAGACCAACCTGCAAAACTACGAATACCAGCCCAACTCGGGCATCCACGGCATGGTCTTCGACCCCACGGAAACCTACCTCTACTCGGCCGACCTCACGGCCAACAAGCTCTGGTGCCACCGCAAGGACCCCGCCGACCCTGACTCCGGCAAGGTCGTGCTCGTCGGCTCCGTCGATGCCCCAGATGCGAGGGACCACCCGCGCTGGGTCGCCATGCATCCTACGGGCAACTACCTCTACGCGCTCATGGAGAAGGGGAACCGTATCTGCGAATACGTCATCGATCCAGAGACGCACATGCCCGTCTACACGCACCGCAGCTTCCCGCTCATCCCCCCCGGCATTCCCGACCGGTGGACCATGTACCGCGCCGATGTGTGCGCGCTGACGTTCAGCGGAAAGTACATGTTTGCGTCGAGCAGGGCGAACAGCTTCGACTTGACGGGATACATTGCGGCGTTTAAGCTGGCGGATAATGGGAGCATCGAGAGGCAGATTTGCTTGAATCCGACTCCCACGAGCGGTGGGCACAGTAACGCCGTGGCGCCGTGCGATTGGAGTGATGAGTGGGTGGCTATCACGGATGATCAGGAGGGTTGGATTGAGGTTTATAGGTGGCAGGATGAGTTTTTGGCGAGGGTTGCTAGGTTGAGGATTCCGGAGCCTGGATTTGGTATGAATGCTATTTGGTATGATTGAGCGTCTTCTAAAAGGATCGTGTGGGAATAAACTAGAGAATAAACTAGAAGGAATGTTAAAATAGAATAAGAACGGAATGTTCTTGGAGAGATATCAATCATTTCAGGGGAAACATTCAAGGCTTCAATTCCTCAGTGAAGGGAAGTCAACTGGCGCCAGTTGCGGATAGACCAATTCAAATTCTTGTCGCGAGTTTTAATGGACCAACACGCGAGTGGCCTTGACCGCGTATGAAAGTACCGTGACCTCTTGAGCCCCACCAAATAAGTACATTTCACCAAATTAAGGGGGCTGAGTACGAAAATTTCGTGGACGTTGGTTGGCTGTACTTGACTTGTCAAGTGACCGCCTGCTTGCTTCGCGTTTTCAGCGTGTTGGTCTTATTGCAGCCTAGAATCGAAGCCATCACGTCCCACTGCTTCACGCGTCTAATTACCATTTTCCTTGATACCCATCACATAGCGGTTTTTTTCCTTACCTGCGAGCCTCAAGCCTCAACTGATCATAGAGCGATTCTTTTTAGAAGAGCATTGGTCTAGATTGATCGTACCGAAATTCCTTGAGCGGACACTGTTCTCCTCCCCCAGTCCTGTGCTCCAAGCACCGAGCCTGCCCACGATGGGGAGTAAACAGATCTTTTCGCAATGCTCCATTGCCTTCGTTTCGAGCCCAGAACTGACTTCTAAGCAAATTGCAGAGGTACGGCCGATCTCCCATACATAAAGACCCCATCTTATGTCAGAACCGCGCTTTGTCTTTTGCTAACACGAACTGTTCCTAGCTGGCCGCGATTGTGAAGCGCAATGGAGGAGAAGTCTGCGAGCCCCGATTCAATGGATCCATCCCCGTCGAGAGAGTCACCCACATCATCTCCAACACCATCGATTTCCCACAATATACAGAGGCCCAAGCCATGATGATCCCCGTCCTGGCGCACTCCTGGATACAACTCTCGCTCACCAAGGGCCGCCTCGCCCAGATCCGTCCCTTCTCGCCCGATCCTCGCATGATCTTTTCCTCGGTCGTCATCACTTGCGCCGGGCTCCCGGTCACGGATAGGGAGAGCATCATTGGCGCGACGGCTGCTTTGGGGGGCATGGATTCGCCGGATGTAACGCGGTTGACGACGCATATTTGTGCGCTTTCGGCGGATCATCCGACGTGTGTAGAGGCGAAGGCGAGGGGTTATAGGGCTAAGATTGTTTTGCCTCATTGGTTCGACGATTGCTTTAAGCTCGGAAAGCGAATTGATGAGGGGCCGTATCTACTGCCCGATGCGGAGATCCTTCGGGCTAACCCGGAGGACTCTGTTGAACTTCCGTCGAGCCAGCATATGGAGGGGGCGTCTAGCGCCCAGCCCGGTCATATTCCTCAGTCAACCCGGAATTCTGCTCGGGGACCACTGAGTGTATTCAAGAACAAGACGGTTATGCTGGCTGACGACTTGGCGCTAACTTCCCGTCTGCGAGGCATCATCGAGGAGGTCATCACGGCCTCTAGTGGCGAGGTGACGGCAAACGTGGAGGACTGCAACATGTTTATTTGCCAATACAGAGACGGTGAGGACTACGTTCGAGCGGCAAAGCTGTGCAAGGATGTGGGGAACTTGGCCTGGCTGTACCACCTCATCACCACCGATCAGTGGTCCTCTCCCCTCCGTCGCCTCCTTCACTATCCAATCCCCAAGAACGGCATCCCTGGTTTCGAAGGGTTTAAGATTACCCTCTCAAACTACGGAGGTGAAGCTCGCACATACCTCGAGAACCTCATCAAGGCTTCCGGAGCCACGTACACCAAGACGATGAAAGCAGAGAACACACACCTCATCACGGCGCGCGACAACAGCGAGAAATGCGAGGCCGCGGCGGACTGGGGCATCAACATGGTGAACCACCTCTGGATCGAGGAGAGCTACGCCAAGTGCGCCGTGCAGCCGTGCAGCAACAAAAAATACACGCACTTCCCCTCGCGGACGAACCTCGGCGAAGTCATCGGCCAGACCTTCTTCGACGAGGCGCGACTGCGCGAACAGTACTACCCCGGGGAGGATGAGGATCTACCGCCGTCTGCCAAGAGGAGACGGCTTATCCTCGAGGCAGCCCAAGCGAACGCCTACGACCACGGTCCCGCCGAGGGCGTCGTCATCGGTCGCGAGGATGTCAAGGTTTGGCGGGAGGAAGCCACGAGGGCGGTGGTAGAGAAGCCCGTGACGCCGGCACCTAAGAAGCAGTACGTCGCGTCAGGCAAGGAGAATGACGAGTCGTTGCTGTCAACGGGCGGCAGGAGCGCGAAGAGCAAGGCGGCTGCTTCGTTGAGGCTCCTTGCTAGCGACATCGAGCAGTATCAGAAGGAGAAGAAGAGGCATAGCAAGGATGGTCGGGGACCGTGGGGCGGGAAGAGGGCGGCTGATCAGCTTGATATGGCGGGGGATGATGAGAAGGAGAAGGTGAAGAAGAAGGGAAAGAAAGCGGGCAAGGGTGCTGAGGCGGAGGAGGCTGATGTAGAGGCCGATGGTGGTAAGCCGAGTAAGAAGAGGAGGAGGATTGAGAAGCCGTATAATATCACGGTTACGATTACGGGGTACGCGCGGTGGGTCGACGAGCCGAAGAAAGAGGACAAGGACAGGGTAAGTCCTAATCCCAGATATCCATCCACTCCGCTCTTCATCCTTCATCTGTTACTAAGATTGGCCGCCATAGGTGAAACTAGCCGAACTCGGTATCAGGATCCTGCCGGAGAACAGTGCCTGCCAATACCTCGTGGCCCCACGAATTCTCCGAACGCTCAAGTTCCTCTGCGGCCTCGTCCGCGGCGCGACTGTGATATCCACCGAATTCATCGACCACGTCCTCACGAGCAAAGAGGTCGTCGACCCTAACGACTTCATCCTCGTAGACAAGGAAGGCGAAAAGGCCAACAAGATGAAGCTATCAACGTCCGTAGCGCGGGCCCGATCCAACGCGGGAAAGCTCCTCTGGGGCGTGCCGATCTACTGCACGCCGCACATCCGGCACGGCGTCAAGACGTACGAGACCATCGCCGTAGCGTGCCACGCCATCTGGAAGACGTACGACGGCAAGCACAACACGATCAAGAAGACGACACGCGAGGAGGACGGCGGGGCGGCTCCCGATCCGGTCTATCTCTTGACGTCGGATACGCCCGCCGAGAGGGAGCTGTATCCGAAGTTTAGCAAGATGGCAACGGAGGGGAATATGGAGGCGAGGATTGTTTCTCCGGATTGGTTGTTGGAGGTCTGTATGAAGCAGGAGGTGACGTATGATGAGGAGAAGTTTGCGGTGTCCAAGAAGTAGTTTGATGGTATATGTCGTCTGTTGTGTGTTTTGGGGAGCATGCTGGGTTTATCCGGAGGAAGATGAGGATGGCTGGGAATTGGGAACTCGGAGTGGGCTTGGTTTTAGCGGGAGTTTCGGATACCTATTGGGTTTTGGTTTTGGTACATTGATGTTTGTAGTTGACTGAAGCAAAACATTGTCTAGTTCAGCTTAACTTTGATATCAATCTGCTGTGCTCAGGTGTAAGTGAGTATTGGAAGGAGGGAGAGGGTGGAGTTCCAAGTTACCCTCTTTTCTATATGCCAATGGAACAGAATCGGGCTCAGCTTTCATTGTTGCTGCCCACCAGACTTAGATCAAGGAGCTGTGATAGAGATATATGAGAGCCTGCAAAAACCTAGGAAACAAGGAAGGAAGGAGTGAAGGAAGTGCTGAGACCTGAGCACCTTCCCCATCAAATTCATTATTAAGCACCAACCTGGCAGCAAAATGCTTTATATATGTGCCTATGGGGTGAAGCTCATGTCCGATCGGGCAACCGTAAGGGCTCCTGGCCAAATTAAGCAACCATGCGTTATGAGGCAGCGAGGAGTGGAGCTGTTTGCAGCACCACATAACCCCATTTGCAGAGTATGCTGGTTCGAAGGAGGCCTTGAACACATCTTTTTTTTTTCTCTCTTTGGTCAACTCTTTTTTTTTTCTCACCTTCTCAATACTTGGGCAGGGTATATATTTGTTTCATAAAAAGGGAATCTTGTCTAAAAAGCCCATATGTCTGTCTACAGGAACATAGCAAACTCAGAACGCCCAATCTAGCCTCCGGTCTCATCTCTCAGAAGAACTTGACACCCTGCGAGTCCTCCTGGCCAAAAATCTGCGCCCTCCCCCTCTTGACGAGGACCTGAAGAGCCTTCATCATCAACTCCTGATCCAGCCCATAAAACTCTACAACTCCACTCGTTAGCCACCTGACCGCAAGAAGGACGCCCAAAAACAACGGAAGGAGAGAAGAGAAGATGAAGAAATAACTTACCCGTCCCCCTACAAGTCTCCCCCTCCGTAATCTCATAAACCGTCAAAACCACCCCCCTCTGCGCCGTCTCATCCACCCACCTCTCCACAATCTCCGCCCACTCCTCCGGCGTCCGCCAATAAACCCACACAACATCCTTCCCGCCGTCGCCGTTCGCGCCAGTGGGGGCGTACGACTCGACGCGGCCCTGCTTGCGCATGAAGTCGATGACGTCCTTGATGTCCGCTGTGCTGAGGCGGCGGTTTATAGTCGGGTTGTGGAAGAGGGTTTCGAGTGGCGCGGCCGAAGACGAGGAAGTTAAGGAGGAAGATGTGGCGGTGCTGCTGGTGGCGGTGGTGGTGAATTGGGAGAGGGAGAGGCGGTGGATGCGGTAGTGTTGGCAGAAGGAGAGGATGAGGGAGGACCATTTGGTGAGTTGGGCGTGGTGTGTTGTGAGGTTGGTTTGGCGGGTGAAGAAAGGTGGAAAGTGGTATTCGCGGGGGAAGGTGAATGGGGGGATCTCCCTCGCCGTGGGTTGACTCATGGTCTTGGTGTTTCTCACCTCCCCCGTTTCCTGTCAGTTTGAAATAGCTCGGAAGGAGGTGGTGATGATGATGAGGTGTATGATGCGAAGGATATCGAGCTGCTAAGACGTTGTGAAGATTGTTCTGAGTTTGCTGTCGAGTCGTTGAAGTAGCCCCGCTATTGTCTAGTGGTTAAAAGGAGCTACCCGCCTGAAATTGGAAGACCCCGCCACGATGACGTTGGTGTCCTCGTGCTTCTCGCCTTCATGTGCCTAGCCTTGCCCAGACAGACCAAGATAAAGAAACCGTCCTGTCGGGACAGTCGCCGGCGCTGCAATTACGGGATACGACTTCTCAATCCGGTATTGATCTGACGCTTTCCAGACAGGCCCTACAAGGATGAAATGTGGCCTGCGTCCTCCGCCCGCCATCCAAAACTGGTAATCAAGATCATCACAATCCAACATGTCTACACGAAAGAAACGAGTTACTCGACATGGCCAGGTTTCGTCAAAAGTCGCCTTGAGATGTTTTATGTTTTTCACATCCGATCATATCCTATAAGCGCATCTAACAAAGTAGAATATCTAATAATAATAAGACATAAATAACTCTCAAAAACACCATGCAAGTCGAAGCGGCGGAGCGAATCTACCCGTCCCCAAAAACTTAACGGATTTTTTTCCACCACCGAACCACCCAAACAAAAGGAAAAAAAGAAAATAAGAGGGAAAAAAAAAGACTGGTTCTCCTTCTTCTCGCCTTCCACGCAATATTCTTTGCTCCCCTCCCCCCTCTTAGTGATGTTTCGTCCGAAATAACACAAACTCGCTAAACTAACAGAGAAATAGAGAATGAACAACGCCAACGCCCGCTCCTCTCCGTATGCAATGATGTTGCAGTATATATCAATAGCCGTACGTACGTGTGCCACTAGTTCTGAGAGTTCAGTTCAAGAAATAAGAATGTAGAGAAGAACGAAAAGGAGAAGAAAATAATAAATAAATAAAGTAAAAAAAGAAGTGTGTATCAATTGGACATGATCAGAGTGAAGGCGCTCAAGAGACCGTACAAAATGGAATAATAACCCCAACGCCAGTAAGTCCAGAGGGATCAAGATTCTAGTAAACGTAGATAGGAATGAATGGAGTGGTGTGATTTTACTCGCACCCAGACGCAAGACAAATGAAAAGGAGGTGCGGCGAGAGTCGAAGCTAGGAGTCGTTGTACGGGAGAGAGTGTGAGTGAGTTCGGCGCTGTGCTTTTTCTTGTGCTGGCTGGCTGGCAAACTGCCCGTGGTGGTCGTGGCCCGCTCAAAGGCGGATCCAACCCTAGGTAAGCCGCCTAGCACCAACGTCGTCCAAAGGCTAAGAGGCCCCGAGCAGAGCTATATCGAATTCTGCTACATCGGGGCGGGCCAAGTCGTCGGCGATAATCGTGGCGGACGCGGACGAACGAACGGGTCCGAACTCAAAAGGGACCATCGTGTTGAAACGCGAGGCGAGGTACCGATATCGGCTGTGTGTAACGCAAGGTGGTCATGACGCGTTACTTCGTTTGCTTTTCGGGAAAATAATAAAAAATGGTTGAGATCCTTCAATCAAACGTATAGCCGCAATCCCGGATATGCGAATATGCGAATGTTGGTTGCCTAGGATCCACTTCGACAATTGGCTCGGTGCCGCAGAAATGCCTGGCAGCGGAGTGCGAGTTCTAATGAGAGCGGAGAAGAATGAAAGACCGAGTGTTTCCTCCTTCGTTAAGAGGTTGCCCTCTATTCCGGAACAAAAAAAAAAATAAAGATACCTGAATGCGTAGGGTGTGTTATGCCTCAACATGCAAGTTGACGAGTCATGGAGATGGCTTCCTTCCTATGAAAGCATCATAGGGAGTAGCCGATCCCCACGCGGAATACCATGCCACTAGAATTTGGTGGGCGCTAGCAAGAAATTTCTCTACATGAGCCCCGCAAGGGACCCAACCATGAGCTTGCCGAGATAAGGTGCTTGATTCCGCCACCGATTTTGCTGCATCTGTTGCATTTGTTGAATCTGCTGTTGTCGCACAATCGACGGGTTCGGGTTGTACGGCTGCTGCGGTACCGGATATGGCTGTCCGTTCATTTGCGCTTGGAGAATTCGCTTCATGTCCTCGGGGACCTGGATCATGCCCGCCGGAGAAGCCTCCGTTGTATTTTGGTTGTTGATCGGCGGGGGCATGAAAGGCTGGTTCTCTTGCGGAGGGTATTGCATCGGCGGCGGCTGTTGTAGAGGGCTAATGGCGCCGTTCATCGCTCCCGCCATGAACAGCTTCTCAAAAGCCGCTATTCGTTGTTGCATGGCATGGTTCTCATCTAGTAGACGGTTATTCCTCTTTTCTAGGTGTCGGATGTACTCGGTTGCTTTGCTCAAGACCTATTTTGAGGGGTTTCGTGTCCCACTGTTAGCGAAGGGATACTTCAGAGATGCGCGATATAACTAGATCTTGATCTTGATGATGAAATACTCACCGTAGCCTTGTTAAGCTTGTGGGCTGGTGTGAGGCCGTGTAGTTCTTCTCGATCTTCTGTCGTATCTTCGCCCCTCGCGCTCTTCGACATGATGCGCAAGCTCGGTACGCTATCTCGAAGGGCAGCGATCTTGTCATTCAAGTTTGTCCGATACCTCTTCTCGATCATGTTGTGCGCCGTCTTCTTGACGGGCTGATTGCCGTCATCGTCTTCTTCTTCTTCTTCGTCGACATCGGCCGACGACTTCCGCTTCCTGGTCGGTAGTCTTGTGCCGTCGTTCTCGGGCGACGAGGCCCCGCCGCGCCTCAGGCTGTTGGGGGACTCGAGCGGCTGATCGGTGCTCGTCGACTGGAACTGGATGTGCGATGGCATAGCTATGTTTCGGAGGGCTTCTTGTTGAGCGGGCGTGAGGTTGCCGAGCGAACCAGGAGGTAGGCTCAAAACGTCATTCGGATTCCTAGTCTGGCCGTGAGCGGTTATTTGGCCAGGATTTTGTCCACCTGTCATGGGATTTGGAAATATGGGGGCCGAGGCAACGCCTTGTTGACTAACGGCCCAAGAAGGGTTATGAAATAGTTGTTCGGAGGCTTGGTCTGCAGCGGTTGAGGGATCGAACGGCCAATTAGGGTTCGTGCTAAAGTACGATCGCGATTCGTCGTTCGAGAAAGAACTATTAGTAGAAGGATCGGCAGTTCTTGATTCTGTTTGCGGAAGTTGGGGGTTCACTTGGGGTGTGACGCTATCGGGGAGGCTGTTGTTGGTGCTGTTGTTGTCGTTGTTGAAGACTGAAGAAGGAGCCTGGCTGCTTGTGTCTTCCAGACCGAACATGGTATTGGGGTCTTGGTTCGTCATATTGTCAGAGACGGCCTCACTTCCCTATGAAGATGGGCTGATCTCGACAGGGAAGGATGGTTCTGGAAGCGGACCGGGAGATTAGGCCCGTGGGAGGGCGGAAAGGAGGTGAACGGGGTTTCAGCACCAAAAGCAGGCAGGCGGTACGAGGCAAAAACGGGCGAGACGGGCGCGCAGAGCGAGGATGCGCCGCGGGAAGGAGAGGGAGGGGAGGGGGGAGGGAGGCCACAGCAGAAGCAGGGTCTCAGCTTTGGGGGGAGACCGAGGTGGGGCGGGGACTGCCGCGGATGGGAGTTAATGTCGAGAATGAGGCGATATCAAGGGAATCGATGCGAGATGCCCGCGGGTTGAAGGATGAGTAGAGGAGCGTATGGGCCAGTATGGCACAGCTGAGGCCCAATGGGACGAGGGGCGGTGTCTTGGAAGGGGGGCGTGCGACCGAGAGTGGGCAAATCCCAGAGTGAAGGAACCTCGAGAGTCGAACGAAAGAGGAATTGCTATCTGACTATTTGGAGCAAAATGCGAAGAAATTGCCGTAAGGAACAATCGAAGGTCGTATGATGGAAGAAAAAAAGCGAGCAGGGGGTGTGGGTGCGTGTGGTTCCGAAAAAGAACGTTCCGCCTGTTGTGTTTCCGTTTTCCGTCTGTCCTCTGTTTTTTCCTCCTGCGACCGAAAAAAAAAAATACACTTTCTGTTTTCGCTGACGGCCTCGGGATCGTGGTGGTGGGCAAATTGCCGATCGAACACAGAAAAAAAAAAAAATGATTACTAGGCCTGGAGACGAAACTCAGCTGAAGAGGGGGGACTCGGATAATACGCTGTATGTAAATCGAGGATCCCTTCTGGATTGGATTTTTTGGACGCTGAATTCCCCAGATTGCAGACTGCGGTCGGATGGCAATGGCAGGTCGCGATGTGTCCTCGCTGAGTCGCTGGACTGGGGACGCCTTCGGAAGCGTGGGTTGTGAGTGGTCCTTGGAGGAAAACCCTGGGCCGGATGTTGCAAGGCGGTCATCGTACGATTTTGGGTGGGGATCAGCCCAGAAGCGAATATGGCCAAAGTCAACACTCACCGGTGCAAAGGTACGTACTCCTGCCCACCGCACTATTACGAAATGTGCTCAAATTGAGTTGGTAAAGTCGTTTGCAAAGGTACTTTGTACAGATTGCATTACCTCAGACACCATAGAACAGACCCTCCAACAAATGCTGGCCATTGTCACAAGCTCCTTCCCTGTCCAAGCAATGAGTTGTCAAGTCTTCGACAGTTGTTCCAACTCCGCTTAGTCATCGTCCATCCTCCGCGAACCCGGCCGAAGGGACAAAGTATCGAGGAATAATCTCCGCGTTTCTAGACCTCCTCATAGTGCGCCCAGTCAGGTCCCTCCAGTCCACTAACCGCTTCGTCTAGCCCTATTCAGTACAGCTCCGAAAGTCAACGAAGTTATCATCGAAATTATTTGGGCAAGCTATCTTGAATCTTAAATTGCCAATCTGACGAATCATCCACTCCTTCTCCGCCTTCTATGCCCTTTGCTTCGTGTCTTGATACCTGGCGCTGCACGTCACACCTCGGACCGCCCCAAGTGGAGGATCTCTCCCTTCTTTCCGGTTGTCCTTTTGGGAGCCTGGACCTTGGCCTAGGTCTAGATCCATCTGCAGTAGCTCTCGGGAAGTTCCCCCAATCTCAAGACGGAAAGCCACGAAGTAAGATCTTAAGCCGACTTGAGCCACGAGATCAGTTACAATGCAGAGTGAGCCGCGTTCTTCCGTTGCACGCGCCATGCGAAGTAAATCTCATGCTCGTCATTTCAGCCTTGTAGAAACCCCGGAAACTCCGATGATAATCTGCGTGGCCCACTCTGCGGCTCCGAAGAGGAGATAACCCACTTCCCTACCGCGTCGAAGAACGTCATCTCTCTCTAGAATACCGGCTTATGCCCGAGAGACCGGCTAGAATTGTGTTGCGCGCCGTTGATAAAGGTTATGCTTAAGGAGGACGCTAAAAGGGTTATCCTTAGGGATTAAGAATAACCTTTCATCAACGGCGCGCAAGGCAATTTATCGCGTCAAAGCTGAGGATCAGCTCGCTATAGCTCCGGAAAGGCAAATTCGAGCCCTTGCTCCGGGTCACTAGTTAATTGAGTTGTTCATGACCCAAGTTGCCACTAGATGTGAAGAAGGGGGGTTATCTTATGACAACAATCCTTTTTTATCCTGCCTGCCGGGTCTCGACGCCGCTACATTTGATCTAGGTTCCGAAAAAGCCGGTACGAGGGAACGTGGCGCATCAAGAAAAGGGTTCTGTCGAACTAGGGATGCAGGTTGTGTGTGTTCTGTGTCTGTCACTCAATCATGGACTGGCATTGACAGGTATCAATCGCCACCACTATCACAGACTCTCCACTGCCTACGTGGGGATCTTCCTTTTTATCACCTATTCCCCCTCTTATCTCTGCGGCAAGGCTGTCTGAGGGGAATGGGTGGCGATAAGAAGGAAGCAGCTCTCTTAACCTGAGAACCTTCTATACGGAGTAGGATCGAGTAAGGGATACTCCTCGAACTCTGACCCAACTCTCTTTAACCGAGGACATTTTCGGGTCAGTTTTGGCTGGTATACCTAGGTTCACTCGGCAAGGCTTATTTTACCTCCTGAACGGATATGATGTGGATCATTAAGTGTCATTGATAAGTGTGCAAGATACCTCGCAAGTTTCTAAACCTATCCTCCTCGCCACCAGACTTATGCTGTGGCTGTAAAATGGTATAAACGACATAGGAAAAATGAAGAAGTCCAACATAGAAAAATATAGACATGAAACCCGCAGTCACAGTTACCTATCTCTGGGTCGAGACCCAACTCGTCTTTCATCTGACTCGGCTCCTGCCGTGAGATTCCCCAAAACCGAAAAAGGAGATGACGGAAATAGAGTGAGACGAGAAGGGTGAGACGAAAGAAGTAATGAAAAAGAAAGAGAGAAAGAAAGAAGTCAAACAATATGGGGAATCGGCGGTGAAATCAATCAAGCGAAGAGAGAAACTCCTCGAAACTAAGCGTCGCCGCCGAAGACGGTTTATCATCAACCTCCAGAACCATCCTCCGTCATCTAAAAAAAAAAAAAAAAAGGACAAAACTACTCATAAACTTTTCTCAGGTTGCTCCGATTACCACATCTCATCGCTGCTCTTGACCATCTGCAGCGTGGGAGTCTTAGGCTCCAGCTTCCTCATCCGCTTCCGGTCAGCCTTGGTCACCAGCGAGGGCGTAATAGGCATGCAAGGCGTGAATGGCTGATAAGGAGAGTAAGGAACCGCGGTGCCCGTGAAGGGAGTCCTTCCGGTAGGCGACAGAGGGCCCATTCGCTCGAAAACGGTCTGCTTGGTTTGAACGGTGGACCGAGTCGGAGACGCCAGGGACGATTCGTAGGCACGCAGCGGCAGAGCGCCGCCGGTCCTAACGGCCGAGGGAGCGTTGGGTCGCGAGAAGCTGGCGCCGGGCTTGGGAGACTGGGGGATGGGGAGAGTCATTGGGCCCTTGAGGGACCTCGGCGAGGCTGGAAGGCTGGGGAATCGGTTGACGCCAGGCTTGGGCGATTGAGGTAGGCCGACCAGGGGGGTTTGAGAAGTGGCCGAGATGGCGGATTCGGGCTCGCCCTCGGTGGGGGCCTGGGAGACGTTGCGAGAGTGGCCGCGGGTGTCGAGGGGCATGTTTCCGAGCCTCTCGTCGATGCTCTGGGTGCCGTCGGGAGAGAGCTCCGGGGTCAGCGGCATCATGGGGTTCCTGGATCCGCGGAATGGGAATTGATCAGTAGGCACCGGAGGAGGGGCAGCGGGCGCATATTGGCGGGGAGGGATGGTGTTGAGCTCCTGGGATTCGCGAGGGAAAGTGCCCGACATGGGAGTCATGATGGGGGAAGAGATGCTGACGCCCTTCATCTTCCTCCTCGGGGACCTCAGGGCGGAGAACAGCGCAGAAGCCTTGGACTGGCGCTTCTCCTCCGGACCCGTCTGGCCGAGGTTGAGATGCGCGGGTTTGGCCTTCTCCTTCTTGATGGTGGAAGGGGTCGAAGGCCCCGAAGAGGAGTTCGAAGCTCTAGGATTGGCGGCGCCACCGGTGGGGATGGGAATGGGCGGCAACTCTACGCCCTTGAGCTTGGCCTCCTCATGTTCCATGACATACTTGTACATGTCCTCGAGCTGTGACTGAGCCATTTCTCTATCTGCCTTGACGACGCTCTGATCGACGGTTGGATCAACGCCTAGGGGAGATTTGACTGTTGAAGTGGGGGAAGGGAGCACGTAAGCGTTGAGGTGTTCGTGCGGCGATTCAATTGGTGTGAAGCCGCCAATGTTTTCGGTCTGGAGCACGATGGGGCTACGGGGTATGCTCCGGGGAGATTGGGGAGGGAAGTTATACTGGGGTTCCTCAGGAGCCACCGTGACGATCTGTTGTGGTTTGTCAACGTGTTGCAAGAATTCTACTTCGTTGTCGCCGGCGTTGAGATGTTCGCGGCGTCTTTTGGAGAGGATGAGCAGGCCGAGGGCGACGAGGACGAGGGAGAGGGCGTAGGATCCGACGATGCCTCCGATTTGCGCGGGGAGGTATGTTGATATTGTTGGGGTGGTTCCCGCTGTGTCGTCGTCTGCTAGGGAAGCAGCTGTGATTGAGTTGTCGATGTCTTGTCTCTTTTGGAGAGGTGATGGAAGGGCGGCGGCGACTTGGCACAAGAGTAAAGAAGGAGTGATAATGTTGAGGACGAGGGAGCGGGAGCGACGTGTTGGTAACCAGGCTCTGGGTGAGAACGGGGATGATGATGTGAAGGCTGAAGTAGAATGAGAGGAAGTAATAAAGACAGATGAAGATGAAGAAGTAAGAGTAGAAACTGTTTCAGAAGAGTAAGAAGTAGACGAAGAAGAAGAAGAAGTTGAGGCCTGGTTATGTTTATAAAAAGGTGTGTGATGACCTTCTATCATGTTGATGTAGTGGATGTTCTGCGGC